AGATCACGTTAATATTTTTAGATATAAAAGTTATAGAACAACAACAATACATGTAATTAGTAGTAACAACAACAAAACAATTACTACAGACATAATATATATTAATAACCAGAAGTAGATTATTCTAGAAGTAATTTATAGTAAATATAGAATCTACAGCAACAGTAAGGAATCTAGCAAAGATGATAAAAATAAATTTTTTAGATTTCATTTAAGACAGAAGTGTAATTGCAGTCAAATATCTGCTCAACAAAATATTTGAAAAAGTAATTAATAAAATCACGCTTACAGAACCTATTAACATCGAACATATAGCCAAAACATTAACAATAAAAAATGAGAGTGCCATCACACCAATAGAAGTATTAGCATATGGTCGTTTATTGAAGGTCTTATATAAAGCTGAAGCCAGTAGTTATCTAAAAAAGAAAATAGAAAAAGCAAGGTGGGTCAACCAAAACCCAAAATCGATCAAGTATATGGTAGAAATGAGCAAAAAAGAAATTAAATGAGAAATAAACAAAATAGAGGGTGTTATGAGAATAAAAGAAAAAGAAGAAGCCAAACCAACAGAATCTAAAAAACATAGACAAGGTAAAGACTCTAAGAAGAAAGAAATAAAAGAAGAAATAAGCATAAAGATCTCTTACACCAAGTAGAGAATATGAATATAAGCATTAATAATGAAAAAACAATGAAAATTGTTCTAGCTTCAAGAAAAGAACCAAGAGAAGTCCTTGTTGAAAAAAATTCTAAAAGCAAAAAGGTCAAGAAAGATGAAAAAGCTCTTATAGACAGAATCATGCAAAATATAATAGAAAATATCAAATCTAAAACTTAACAAATAAAAGCAAAACATAAAGAGAATAATAAACTCACTATATCAGGGGACTTAATCAAACAAAGTATCTGGTCATCAAATAACAGAATATGTGAAGAAGACAGATCTTTTCATGCAAAAGCTCTTAGCTTTCAAGGTACCAGGAGACTCTTCTGAAGAGAAAACCAGAAATATGGAAGGAACGCTAAACAAAGACAAGTATATAAAGTCAGTACAGGAAGTTTTTACAAATGGAAACAGCTGAGTAGAGATAGAATTCGATTGTGAATATAGTAAAGAAGAAGCGATCAAAAGAATACAAAAAAAGAAGGAGATTGGCTTTGTTTAATTCTAGTAACTGATGATGAATCAAGAAATTTGAAACATAAAACAAGAAACCAAGAGAACAGATCTAGAGTTAAGCAAAGTTCTAACTACAAGACTAAAGACATCAATGAGAAAAGATACACCTAGGAGATAGACGAAAGCTTATATCAAAATGAAGAATATCACAACATAAACCCAGAGGCATCAAAAAAATACAATCATAATAGACATATAAATATAGATTGTATTACAATTTTGGATCTGCCAAAAGACATAAACTTGAAAGAAGTTAGATATATGTGCAAAAAGTTAGGTAATATAGAAGACATGTATATTAAACAAAAGGGTAGCAAAGCTTTAGCAGTGGTAGAGTTTAGTAAAGTCGTAGAGGATAAAGACTTATCTTGGGTTCTTCTAGTAGGTGATGGAAGACTAGCTTGCATATCTACAGAAAAGAAGATCATAAAGAAAGAGATAAGAGATACAAATTTGTAGCAAAACTAACAGGAATCACAAAAGAGTTCTCTGAAACTCTTCTATTAAGACACCTTAAAGACAAAAAAGCAAAAGTGATCTATATCCTGAAAAGCAGAAGCAGCTTCATAAAGCAAATAGCAAAAGTAACTTTTGCAAACAAAAAGAAATAAAAGAAGCAAAAAGAAAGACAGTAAGGTATAACAATCTATCTCTTTAATAGATATGACCAAAGCAAGATAAAGATACTCTATCTGAAAGTATGTATAAGAAAGAAAAGAAAATGGATAGTAATAAGAAGTAAGAAAAAGAATCCAGTGACGAAGAAATAAATTTTGTACAAAAAAGAAGAACTGGATATAGTGCAATGACATTATTAGAAGAAAATGAAGAGGCTAATGATAACAGTAAATCTGATAGTGACAAAGAAAACAATACCTATTTCAAAAAAAAGAGAAAAGACTACTTTAGTCCAAAGAAAAGTAAAGGCTTAAGAAGCAAAAATTCAAAGGAAGAAAATAACTTAGCAGCCAGAATTGATTAATACTAGTCAATACTACTAGAAATTTTATGATGTCTTGAAGACCTGAGTGAGCAATTGAGAGGTGCTCAATGCTTATAATTAGGAGCAACAGTTGAATTACAGAATATTAGCAAAAGAACTAACCCCTTTTTGCAAAGAGATAATACAGAAAAGATCAATAATGAAAAGATTATCTTTTGCTGATCAGTGAATACAGAAGACAGAAAGGATAAGAAGGTTATACACAGGTAGTTGTCAATCTGAGAAGAAAGCATGAACAATATAAATAGCAGAAATAGAAATTATACAAGAAGAAGAACAGAACTTAATATAGCCCATAATATTAACGGTATTAAAAGTAATATTCAGAAAATAGATTCTCTATATGAGTGGGCTATAGACAATTCAATAGACATTTAGAGGTTGCTGAAACTAACATCTCAAGTTAAGAAGAAATATTGTTAATCAGAGAATATTTAAAGTATAAAAGCTTCTGAGCAAGCTTGAACAAAAATAAGAAAAAAGACTCTAAAGTTGGTTTACTAATAAATAAACAATAGGAAAAATATATAAGGCAAATAAATAAAGTTAACAAATATTTGATCTCAGTAAGCTTGGTTCTTAAGCAACTAGAGATTATAATAATAATGCTTTATATTCTCTTGAACAATACTCACAAAAGAAAAAACACATAGAAAAAAATCATTAAAAAATTTATTAACTAGTCTCTCAGATTACAAGTAATAGTAATGGGAGATTTCAATAGTATAACTGATCCAGAGCTGAACAGAACACCAATTCTAAAGCAGATTAAGCAAGATCCTCTTCTAAACTGGCTACAAAAACAAAAATTCTTAGATGATTTCAAAATGATCTATTCAAGAACCAAAAGATTTACATAGACAAATAGGGATACAAGTACAAGAATAGATTAGATATAGCTATCTGATAAACTTGCATATAGATTATTCGATACAGAAATTCAAGAAATAGATGTTTATACAAATAGTGATCATGAGGCGATGATAGCCAGAATTGACCTCAACCATCTCAGTACATCTCAGAATACTGTAGTATACAAAAGAAATAAACAAACAAGGTTAGTTTTTCTTCACAATAAGGCATCTAAAGAGGATTAGAAAAATTACAAAAAGCAAATAAATAGTTTACTTAAAAAAAAGTACAAGTATAACAAGCCTGATAAAGAAAACTTGTCAACAAAGAGAGAAATTTCTAGAGTTAAATGAACTTTGGGATATTATAAGCAAGGTAATATTCACATCAGCAAGAAGTAATTTGCTAAAAAAGAAAGTCTGCAATATAGTACAGAACAAGAAGAAAAATACTAAAGAATCTAAACTAGTATACTCTCTAATGTAATTAAGTCATTGGATAAATATTAAGAGAAAAAACATTAAATTAGAACTCACTTCTGAAAATATACTGAACCTTGTTACAGAAATTAAGTTCATAAATCAATAACACAAAACAAATATTAACAAGGCAATAACTATTTGGTCACAAGTGGATTAGTCATAGCAAAAAAATATCGAGAATATGTAATTAGCGATCTCTTCCAACCTCTTTGATATAATCCAAAATCATATATTACACGAAAATTATACCATATTGTCTCGAAATAATGCCCCAGGGTGTAGGTTAAAAATTTGGCCCGAATTAAGCTTCATTTAGGCAGAATTAAGCTTAATTCAGGCTAAAATTTTAACCTACACCCCAGGCATTATTTTGAGACAATATGGTATCAATATATTAACTTATTAACTCATGATAAATTATATTAATTGTTAATAATAAATTATGTTAACATGTAATAAATTATATTAATTGTTAATTGATTCTACGTTCAAGAAAGATGTATATTAATAAATCGATATATGATAATATATTAAAAAAATTAAAATCTTGTATTTAGCAGATAATTTAATGCTTATAATGATTAATAACACTGAAATAGTATTACAAATTGTCAAAATTTTTTTAATTGATTAGTTGGTTAATTATTTTTTAGTTGGTTGCAACTAATCAATTAGTTGCAACTGGTCGATTAATCAATTAATCGATTAGTTACAACTAATTCATTAAGTAAATAAATAATTTTTTAATCGATTCTTTGCAACCAATCAATTAATTCTTTAGTCGATTAGTTGCCAACTAACCAACTAATCGATTAGTTGCCAACTAATCAACTAATCGATTAATTCAACTTTTGATTTGTATCATTATATTGAAGACAAAAATTTTTATAAATTTTAATATTGTAGTACTCATATATAAATTAATCAGTTTATACAAAAGTAAAAACTTGTAAAATTTAAATTAATTTATTATTTATTAAAAAAATAAAGTATTGCTTTCAAATTTATTAAACTTGTCATTGCACTTAATATATATAAATAATGCCATATCGACTCAAAAGTTTGTCTAGTTATAGTATACACGGATTTCCATAAATCAGCATTTGATAAAAATTCTCTTTAAATAAAATCTCTAAAGTGTTTGTTTTTCCAAATTGAAAATATCTACTTCTAATATTCCACTTCTGACCCTAATTATCCAATTTTTAATATCCTAACTCACAATCCTAACGATCCTACTTCTAATATTCCTGCTCACAATCCTAATAATCCTACTTCTAATATTTTTACTCATGATCCTAACAATAAAACTAAGTAGTGTTCTTACTGCAAAAAATTTAAATTAGTTAATGAATTTATAAAATTTAATAGAAATAACATTAAAGAGTTTGCTCTATGCAATAATTGTACTAAAACAGATAGAATAAAGAGAAAAGAAAAATAGCATAGAGACATATCGCCTGATAAAAGAAATATTTTGATGCCTACCGATAATAGTGACAACAAAAATAGTGAGAATAATCTAATTTACAATATAAGTGATCTCAAAGAACTTATAGCTCTCAAATTTAGAGAATATAAAGAACTAGATACCAATATTAGTTTTTCAATAATTGTAGAAATTGAAAATGAAATGGTAGATCAAGAAATTTTATCTTTGGAATCTGATCAAGATATAAAAAATAAAAAATTTTGCACTCTAGCAAAAACGTTGCTCGTACCTATCCAAGAGGGATACAGATACTATTGGAAAATTCAAAATTTGTACCTTAATATACAAGACAGTTAATATATAGAGTGCGCAACAGCTCGTTTATATTATGCTCAAAGGTAAGATTTTAAATTTTTGTCGCCTAAAAAAATTTTACATGAAAAATATATAAAATTTTTTTATAAATATTCAAAAAAACCTCGCTGATAATAAATATAGTAAAGTTTTTATAAATGCATCTCTAATAAGTGCATATCTACTCTATATATATACACAAACTTGGGTTTAGCTATATAGATAATCTCAATAAATACACTTTTTCTTATTGTTCTCTAAGTGCATGTTAAAGTTCGTATTTATAGAGGTTTTACTTATAATCAAAATATTAAAATTTTGAAAAATTTAACCAGCAGGTTATAAAATCTAATTAAGTTTGTAATCCATTATCATTTAGATATTTTCATCGATCGTCTAACAGTACATATAGATTCTGTGCCAGGTTATATCGATCATATGACCGATCAGCAAATCAGATTTCAAGATCAGGTATAATATAACACAATCATAAAATTTCAAAACAACTGTCGTTTTGTCAAAAATCGCTTATTAATCAAAAAATTGTATAAAAAACCACCTTTAGTGTACTAACAAAAAGTTCTTCTTGAACGATTTTATTATAACTACCTCATCTCTAACCAACTCTAAACCAAACTCTAACTCTAATATTAATAAACTTCAAAAAAATCTGCCTGTGCTATATGATTGACATACTTGGCACAGAATCCATACATACTGTCTAACATATCATTATATTGTTTCAAAATCTTTTCTAAATACGTTTGCTTTTTTGTTTATATTTTTTGTCAGAGATCGGATAATACTGAAATTTAGTAGTCTCAATTTAAAACTATAGGTACTACTACAATTTACCTATACTTTTTTTATTAATAACTCACCCTAAATTAAAAAATTTTTTTAAAAATCATATATAAAATAGATCCAAATTTCAGCATCATCTAATTTTAGCATCTCTAACATTTCTTATCCAATATACTATCTTTTAATATTATATTAAGAAAAGTTTTACCTATAAGATATTCATCAGGCTCTTTCTGAATAGTACTACAAATTGCCAAAATTTTTTCAATCGATTAGTTGATTAATTATTTTTCAGTTGGTTGCAACTAATCAATGAGTTGTAACTAATCGATTAATTGATTAGTTGGTGTTTAAAAAGTTCAATCGATTAGTTGCTAGCTAACTGAAAAATAATTAATCAACTAATCAATTAATTTAATTTTCGATTTGTATCATTACTTTTGAATCTGTATATTTCAAACTAAAAAATTTATTTAATTAAACTGATTTAATTGATTTATTATTATTTAAAGATCTGATCATGAATATAAAAGATCAGATAACCAACCTGTAAAGCACATAAGCGAAGCACAGCCTGCTATTCAATATTTTTCATATGAGGGAGTAATAAAACTTAAAATGGATTTGTGCGAACAAAAAGCAACAATATTTGTAAAGCATTTGGCTCATGAACATTCTACGTATAAAAAAACAAAACTACCTAACAACACAATACTGTGGATACAACAAAATATTAATAATATTTTGCAAAAAATTGAGTTTTATAAATGGCTTTGTAATAAGGATTTGATTAATCTGTCCTTATATACTTACCACCAAGTATATTATTGGGTACGAAATTCTCAGTAAGTTAATACATGACAGATGTTAAAAACTAATTAAATTCTGCAAAAAATTTTTAAAACAAGAAGAATTAAAAAAATGAGGGGTATAAAGTTATTTTATGCCATGAGAATGAGTTCGTGCATATGCTTGGTTTTACCATACCATTCTTTCAATTTCAAGAAAATATTACAGAAATTGTTATTGACTTAACATTTAAGACAAACCAGGAGCAGTTTGAATTTTTTTGCTGTAAATGTTAATTGCGGTGAATATTGCGTTCTTCTTGTATATCTATATGTAGATACATATACTACACCAAGAGAATAGCTCTTAGATTCAAAGTATATATCACATAATAAAAATTTTTTATTATCATATTAAAAATTTAAAATTTTAAATTTAAATTTTTAAAATTTTAGCAATAAGGTATATACAAGAGTTGGTATATTTACCAAATTTTTTAAAAACTTGTGAAATGAACATGTTCTACTTGTTTTCATGCTGCTTGATAAAGATGCTGGAGAGATTTTAGCTATTTGTGCGACTTGGTCTCAAACTACAGTAATCTAGCTTTGTCTTTAGTATATGAAATGCGCAATTTGACGCAAATTAAAAGAAATAAAGGTTAGATAAGTATGAGTTAATTTTAAATTTTTTTTTTCTTTTTTTTTTTTGTAATTCTTTTTTTTTTTATTTTTTCAATTTTTTAAAAAAATTTTTTTTTTTTTACCATATTTTCATGTAATAATGCCTATGAGTTATTTCGAATTTTGGCCCAAATTAAATTTAATTTGGGCCAAAATTTAAAATTACACCCTGCACGTTATTATGTGAAAATACAGTATTTTTTTTACAATTTTTTTCTAAATTTTTTTTTTTATTTTTTTTTTAAATTTTTTTTGTATTTTTTTTTTAATTCATCTTTTTTAAATACAATTTAAGGAAAGTTAGTATATGATGCAGAAAGCAAGCAAAGCCCATTCTCAATTTATTTTCATTGAACCTACATGGATTCCTAACGATCAACAAAATATCAGGTGTTCTAAAGAATTAGAAGAAAGGTTATTAATAATGGTTACAAGATATTCTATATTACATCCCTTATACTATTAGACAAAGATGTTTTTTTTATAGCAGAACAGATTTGATATCAAAGTATTCTAGAAGTCTACCAATTCTGTCATCAAAATAATCTTGATAAGCTATTAGGTTATTTGTAGACAAACTAGTATGATATAAAAAATTGAAATTTGTTCGCACGATCATCCTATCTAAATGCAATGCCTATCACCCAACTACTATGATTGTAGAATCACACTGGTGTAGCTTTAAACACAATTATAAATATAATTGTAATAGACCACGTCTAAATCGTCTGATACAAATTATTACGAGAGAACTAGTTCTTGATATCGAAAATACTCAATGAAGATATCTCTACAATCATGAATTCCTATCATATTAAGATTCATTTAAAGAAAACTAGAGGACTGCTATAGCAAAAATATAAATGATGAAAATAGTTATCATATTGATATAAGTTCTTGGCTTTGCTTTTGTCCTGCATTTATACATAATACTTATCTTATATATAAACATCTAACAAAAACATATATAGCAGAGAATCCAAATTTTTTTTCTTAATTTAAAGCCACAGCATGTTGTCACGATTACCTATTTATCATCTTTAATAAAGAAAATCTTCCAAGAATTTATCCAAAAAATAATTCTTGGAATAACATTCTACAAGGTAGTAAAATAGAATTCGAACCAGAATCTGAAGTATCAAGTAGTTATAATATTATTTCATCTACATCTGAGCGCTATTTAGAAATTGAAAGTAAAAAAGCAGAATTAATAGAAGATATGAAAGTATTCAAAACATTGGTAAAAATTATAACTAATAATATTGAAAATAACAAGCTTTATGAAGTATAGTCAGATCTCTCTAAATGCAATGCGATAAGACTATATATAAAAATTTAGTCAAACATGTACTTAGAGAGGTATTGCATTTAGAGAGATAAAAATTTATAGATGTAATATTAGTTGAGACCAAGAGAAGACGTGCATTTAGAGAGGTGTTTTATAGGATATGCACTTAGGGAGATAGCATTTAGGGGGTCTGACTGTATATACAACTCTTAAGAAGCCTCTTATTGCCGAAGTTGCTATATGTAACAAAGTTTTTAATCCAAGAATACAACAAAAAACCTGTGATAAATCAAATATTAGAAAATTAGCTTTTTGGCTTCAGTAAGCAGGTTTCGTCAATTAAAAATTAAATCTTATAGTTTTGGCTTTAATAAGCTTCATCAAAACTAAAAATTAGATCTTATAGATACGAATTCTGTTACTTAAAGTAATATCTCTGCACTTATTTTTGTAATAAAGATTAGTTTTTTTTTAATTAAACTTTTGTGCAAATATTTTAATAGCAATTTACCATCGTTGTTGATTAAGTAAATTATAAAAAGTTTATACCATAACTTATACAGATAGGTTTCTTCATATTTCTGCAATATTTCTTTAATAGACAATCTATCTGAGATCTAGACAAAAATTTTTTTTTATATATAAATTTTACTATAAGCACGAATATACAGTACCCTATCTAAAACTTTTTTTTACTAACTAAATCTCTCTTGGGTTTCTAACAAAAGTTGTAGAGCTCATCAAGATATATTTAATAATAGTAAGAATATTAAAATTGGCTTGGTAGTTCTTGAGAAATTTTTTAAAAAAACTTCTTTTTTACATATAAAATTTCTTTAAAAAAAATCGATTTTTTTAAAGAAATTTTATATATGAAAAAGAAGTTTTTTAAAAATTTCTCAAGAACTACTAAGCCAATTTTAATATTCTTACTATTATTAGATATATATTGATAAGCTTTACAACTTTGTTAGAAGCCCAAGAGAGATTTATTTAGTAAAAAAAAGTTTTAGATAGAAGTATTGCACATTTGGGCTTATAGTATAAAAAAAAAAATTTTTGTCCAGGTCTCAGGTGGATTGTCTATTAAGTATAATAAATACTATTATATTGTCTTTGCATTAACAATAAAAATTTAATATGTATTATTAAGATTATCAGATTACATTTTGAAATCACTCTGATTGTGTTTGAAAGAATCACCGATTACGTATTTTCAACATTTTTTTTGCCATGACTAACCTATCTATTTGGTTACATAATCTACTAGATGACTTCAAAGGCTAGTAAAAGATTCTCTTTGTGAAAAAAGCAAATAAAATTGAATATCAAAAAAGAATAGAGATAGAAGAAAATATTAAAAGAAAAAATCAGATGATAGATAGCAAGCAAGGCAAAATGATTGTGAGTCTTCTAGAGAAGTCTTTTAAAAAAATACA